CACAGCGCCTCCCTCACCCCCTGAGCCTGGGAACGCCATCCTGGGGATATGTGTGACCCTGTAGATGGCCCAGCAAGCTCATTTGGGGAGGTGTGTGTGTGTGTGGCGGGGGGGTTACCAAACATAGCTCAGTTTGGGGCTAGGGTTGTAGGTGGGAGAAGGGAGGGCTCTGGGGCTCAGGACACGGCTCGTTCATTCATCCAGCCGACATTCTACGTGGAGACTCCAGTCCACATGGAGATTCAAACACCAACCAGCCCTGGCCTGTGTGACTGGGTTGAGCATCATCCCATGCACCTAGAGCTCGAACATGCCTGGGTTGTGGGCTCGATCCCCAGCAGGGGGCGAGCAGGAGGCAGCCAACTGATGTTTCTCTCTTCCTCTGTCTCTCCCCCTCTCCCTCTAAAATCAATAAAAATATATTTTTTTAAAAAACAGCAATCGGACACCACACCATCCTGACTCCAAGGAGCCGTGGGGTGACCTGCTGTTTTACTCTCGGGGTGCACTGGCTGCCCCAGAGCCCTGATGCACGTTAACCCCCTCACAGGAGGGTTCATGGCTGGGAGCCTGGGTGGTGGGGGGCCTTGTCCTGACCCCCAGGTCGGGGATCCTGGGGGTTTTCCCAGGCTGCTCAGCAGAGGTGGCCCTGCCCACCAAGGGGCTCCAGGTGGTTCCCAGTAACAGGGAACCAAGGAGTGAAAGCCTCTGCCCAGCGGGTGGCAGTGAACGGTCCAGGGTGGGCAGGGCCTCAGCTCACGGGGGCTCCACTCCAAACTATGCCAACAGCAGGCCCTGGGGACACCCTGAGGTGTCCATCCAGGAGGGACCGTGTCTGACGACCTCGGTGAGGGAGAAGGTTGGGGGTGGGGGACTCGGATAGAGATGGGAAGTCGCAGAGCATCTGTGTGGGAGGGGCCTTAGAGATTAGCTCATTCCAGAAAATGAAATGTCCTGCCAAGAGTCAGGCGTTATGGCAAGCGCCAGGCTAGAGCGAGTGGGGCCTCCCACTTTTCTACAAGGAAACAGAATGACCCCATGGGACGGATCCTGGTGGGGCTGGGGCAGAACCATCCGAGCTCCAGTGCCCAGAACCCCACGCTAACACACGCTGGGAGGTAGGAGGCCCCTGGGGTTGTAAGGATCACGTGTGCCCAAGTCCAAGGGCTGGCCGGGCACCTGGGGCAGGCAGAGACGTGTGCCCAGGCCTAAGGGCTTTATAGGTCAAATGACACCAAAGCTGCAGTTGAGAACTGAAATCCCTGTCCGGAGTCAGGGGCTTAGAGCTTGCCAGAAAGTTCAAGGTGGGTGTTACTTATGCAAGCGGCAGGCTTTGTTGTTGTTGCTGTTCATTTCCTCTGCTTACCCATAGAGAGCTCTAGTCTACAACTAGATACCTGATACCTAGGAGGTTCCCAAAATTCACAGGCCTGGGATCCCAAATCCCAGAGAAAATGAGCACTTTTCTTCCAGTCAAGCCTCCCACCGGCGTCCTAGCAGCGCAGGGAGGAGCAGCTTCTAGAAGCATCTGAGATCCTTCCCTGGGCAGCCTGTGCCCACTGTGGGCCTCCTGAGGTCTGGATCCGGCTTCCTACAACCACAGGCAAACCTCAACGGACGCTCAATGTTGGTGGAAGGGGCCTCAGAGGCAGGAGCTCAGTTCCAGGAAGGGCGGAAGGATCCCAGGGAGCCGCGGGACTTTGTTCTGGCGAATCTGCTCAATTGATATGTAATCTAACCCGGAGGGCCAACCCCAACACCTGTGGAAAGAACAGATTACCGTCAGCGAGCCCTAAAGACAAAACACTTTGTTTTAAATGTGGGGAAAGAGAAGGGGCGGAAGTGCCTCCGGGACCGGGACCTGGGAGTTTTCTTGGGACAGATAAGACTTTAGTTTCTAAGGGACCTGGGACCAGCGAATGGGGGAGGGGGTCGGGCGGAGTGGGGGAGGGTTGACAGCTAGCAGCGAAGAGGGGAAAGCACCAGCGGGAAGGGGCCCACTGAGGGTCCCATCCAAGGCCAGGTGGGTAGGAGGGAGCCTGCAGCCTCCACTACCTCCACCCCCTCCCTTGAAACCCCAGTTGGGAGCGGCTAACAGCAAGGGAGCCTTGACGTGCTGTGCCCTCTCTCCTGGGCAATAGTCCACCGCGGGCCTCGGGGTGGTGGGTGTCCTTTACAAATGGAGGCTATTTCTCTAAAAAGAACCAAACCCAAGGCCTGCTTTTCATAGGATGCGGACCCTGGGACTCAGGAGTTCATCCCCTTAAGTTTCACTTGAAGGCCCCGCCGGTGTTGCTCAGTGGTTGAGCATCGACCTATGAACCAAGAGGTCACGGAAGGATCCCCGGTCAAGGGCACATGCCCGGGTTGCAGGCTCGATCCCCAGTAGGGGGCGTGCAGGAGGCAGTCGATCCATCTATTTAAGAAAGTTTCATTGGGAGAACTTGGCCTCCGCAGACAGTCAGGCAAAGGGCAGTCGGAGAGGCAGGAAGATCAAAGACCGGCCACCTGCCGACAGCCTCCTCACCCCCGGCCCCAGGCCAGGTCCTCAGGCCCCTCCGGTTTCCAGTGTGTCTGGGATGGAATCCGGGACCCAGACGGCGCCTCGGCGGGCTCCCACCGGTCTGTCCTGGGCCCAGGGGCGAGCAGGCGGGGTTGGGGGTGTCTGGTCGCTGCTCCGAAAGGGACGAGCCTCGGGAGGAGTTCGCTGAGCCCCCCCGGGAGAGTCGCGCCCCAGATGGTACTGGGTCCGGGAG